AAACCGTATTTACGGTTATTTAACAAATAAAGTGGTATTTTTAGAAGTAGAAAAATGATGACGTAATTTCAAGTGTCAAAAGAGGGTTGTGTGACGATAGAAAAGTTTAATCCATGTAATATGATAAAACCAAATGTATGAAATGTGATTATCTCATTGACAAGTGTAAGAAAGGCGAAAAAGTAATCAACAGCACGAAGGTGGTGATAAAGAATGAAAATATTAAAGTGTTAACAACTAATTTACTGTGTATGGAAAATTAATTGTAAGAGCCATGGTAGAATAAGAGTTTGAACTTATTGCTTTCGGATACAAAATTTAGGTTTGATGTAATGAATTGCTAACTCCTTAGCAATGCTTAAGTTGTTGGTTTGTGCCCTTTTTAAACCAAATTGAAGGATATATCTTGTAGGACAGCTTGACGGGAAATAACAAGATGTTTAATATTGAACTATTTAGTGTTTAGCACTCGCCATTCGAAAGATACTCAGGATAGTACTCAGAGATGGGTTTAAAAAGAGTTCTCATTGTGCGGCCGATGTAACTGGTTTCACATAAGTGAATAGACTTATAAGTAAACACTAATATGTCCCGAAATTGGAATTTATATTTGACTCATCAACGAATGACAGTGTGGTTCATGAACACAATATGCAGCTTAGCATCATGAAATGTTTTTCGTTAGTCACTCTTTAAGACATTACTAGTACAATATCTTGTTTAAGCTCAGTGTTCATAAATGGAGTTCGGTTTTTAACTGTTGGTGGTCTTTCAGCTTGTAGTTTCGGTGTCAAGCTTTTGTCAGTGGATTTGGCGGGATAGCCATTTCTGATGAGTACCTGCTGGAGTCGCAATGGTTCTGTTATAAAGTTGAAGGGCATCCAACTGTTCCTCAAGAATGAATTAATTTTCCTCTTCATTTTCATATGACTCAGCTTTAAAACTCTTATACTAACCATTTCAAGTCAGTTTTCTGTGTATAAATCTTTATAATCAACCGTATAATTTTCAACGTCTTGATCGTTACACAACTCTCTTCTTGATATTTGAGATTAAAAATCCTCTTTCCTTCCTCCAGCAGACTACTTTATTTGTTAAATTGCTATAAACGAGATTCTAAAGACTGAGTGAATGATATAATCGTGAAGGATATTTTTTACTGAATTGTCTTCACCACTATTATTTTTATCAGTCTGTGTTACCTACATCTGGTTTGATTATTAATCTCACAGTTCTGTTTGAACTGCAATATGATTCCAGTGTAAATTAAACACTAATCATCCCAATGAGCATAAACGATCATAAAATTCATTTTTGTATTGGTTGTTTGAATCTTCCCATTGGTGTTTAGGACTGCAATTGATCAGTTTCTTATTGGCACATGTGCATCCTGCTCGGATGGCCTCAATATTATATCGAGTCACAAGCATTATAAGCAGAGATGGATGATGGCTAGTAGTGGAATCCAGGACGAGTATTCGTCCTATTTGGGGTTCACTAGATGCGTGTACCTTCATCTCAGTGGATAACCCGATGGCGTTTGAAATAAACAGTACTGGGTCCTAGTCTCGGATCAAACGTCAACCTTCAGATGACGAGTCCTTAATAGGATGAAACCCATGTCCTGGATTCCATTGCTAGCCACTATTCATCTGCTTATGATAACAAAATTTTAGTACTAACGACCTGAAACCAATATGTTGTACATTATAAAAGTTAATTCCCTTAAACTTCGATATTTTATTAAATCACTGATCTCTAATCATCTTTATTTGACTTGACACTAATTTATCGAAAAAATGTTCGCCATTCTTTTATCTGTAGGTTTTAATGTCATGAGGGTTTTCAGACAGAAATCTAAATTTGTTTTAGTTGACATCATGATTCCATTATATCCGTAGTATATCTCGTAAATGTCAAGACTAAACTATATCTCATTTCATTGAGTTCTTATATTGAAACAAGGTTTCTAAAAATACGTATCTACTTTACCTGTACAATTAGTCTGCATTAATGAGTGACTTCAGCTAGATACCTATCAACAGCCAAGGGACACTGGAGATTTGTTTCATTCTATCTAAAAACTTTTGAGTAGTGAGCACGTACAGTAGATTGAGTGCTCGGTACACTGACCTAAAAATCTACTTGCAGATCCCTGGAATCTTTGACACTCGAAATCCGAACGAGGCAAGTTATAGAAGATTAGTATTGTTTGCAGAAATCGAAGAGTATTTATGTGAACTGGTAATCTTGTGGTTCTAGAAGATCCTAGAAAATATATTTTACAGAATACCTGATAAATTTGATAAGGGACAAACACAAATAGACTGACTTCTAGATTTTTTGGGAATTCTCTTAAGATACTAATTAGTTACAAGACATTTAAAACACTTTTCGGACACTTCAAGATGTTTTCACAGTTCAATCCATGAAGTGATCGTAGATATACCACCATTCGAAAGCTAATGATATCGGTGAATTAGTTCAAAGGTTGAGGGTTCGTGTGTGAGACCAAACGTTTAGGGTTCAATCTCAAGTGGCGGGATCATTTATGCACTTTTCTGAGAAGTTTTTTATTAGGAGGAAGCGGCCGCCCAGTGCTTCATGGCTCTCAATGGCAACCTAGCTCGGATCACTTAGCGATTTAATACATGAAAATCCTACGATCTTCACAAAACCGCCTTCCTATACTAGCAAAATGAAGGATATATTTTAGCCATAGTGGTGAAAAGTGGATAAAACAATTCATTTATTTATTTGGAATTTCATTATTTTAATTTTATGAATAGAAATTTCAGTATAATAAGTAACTATTATCAGTTTGTCTTATTTATCCATCTAAGTTGTTACACAAAGAAAGCTGATGAGTGTAATTATTATATCATAACTAACTAATTATTTTCATCCAATAATAGAACGCGTAACCGCTTTCCTCTCACCTATGTAAAATCATAGCGGAATATATTCTTGTATCCATATTGAACGCAAACGCTAATCACGACCTGTTTACCTCGCTTCACAAAAGCAGATAGTGCGATTTTAGAAGGGTGATAGGGAAGCAGTTAGGAGCTCTACCTTTGAATATTCAACCTCTCCAAGTCGGTCAACTAATTCCAACATTATCAATATGTATTTAACAGAAGTGAATCTCTTAACAACATCCTGATTACAACTGCATTATCGATAAGTAAATGAGCAAAAACATCATATTCTCCAGTTGATCTACATTTATACACAGCACGTAAATAAGGTCACTGGTTTACATATAATTCATGTTATATTAAGAAAGACAATGAATTTATTTAGCAAATGTGTTGTAACATGATCAGCCTAAAAATGTGACTGATTTTAATTCTTAAAAACAATATAATTGACTATGGTTGTAATAAACCTAAGTGAAAATATCACTTCGTGTTAAAAACTGAATTATTAGTCAATCATTTAAGCATGATAATAATATTTTCGGGATATTAATTGAGAGAATAAGATATAACGCGTTCCTTTGAATTATTAGTTGATGGGAATTACAAGAAGGAATCGGTCTATAGATTATCAATCAGCTTTCGGTAAAATAAAGAACTCCGATCTCCCAATATTTTACTTAATACCATCCATCCTTACCTATTGCGATTGCCTCAGATGTTTAGAATTATGATATAGGGGTAATTATCTCCCAAATCTGTCTCAATGGATCTGAAAAAAGCGATCTCTCATACGGTCGAATCATTGACAGCAATAGAACAGAACTATAAATTTTCATTCAAACAAGGCGTCTTATCCCTATTATGGTCACTAAACAAAAACTAACACCGAATCAAACTAAAACTCTGGGTGAATCAGTTTTTATGATTGGCTGTAATAAAAACTTATATTTTTTTATCATAAAAGTGAGTACTTTAATCCCATTACTATGGTTGTTAGAAAAGAACCTTTAAAAATATGGAAAATCAAAGAATACAATACTGGAATGATTCACCTTAATTTTATTTCTAATAAAGAAAAGATTCCAAAATAGTTGACTAAAATGAAATATCCAGAGCTAAAATTTCAATCTCTTTAAAACTAGTTAATCTAAGAAAAACTTCCTACTGTTATTTTTACAGTTCCTTCCAAATATTAAAATGATAATTCTATCTTCATCTGTTTCTATGCGTTAAATAAATCAAAATCTAATTATTTCTTATTAACTGACTAAAAAATATTCATTAATTACTATTATAATATACATAATAATAATGATAATAAAAATAGTAATGACAATATTGGTAGTAATAGTAGTTAATCTATAATATCACTTCCTATATGTTAGTTTTGCATAAAATTAACTACCTACTAATCCGTTGAATACGGGAATTGCAAGTATAAAAATTATTATGATAATAATTCCAAACTTATTTTAACTGTACCAAGTGTAAATACTTCGACATTTCTTCTTATTATTATTAAACAAACTTGAGATTAATTTAACTCCGCCTGTAGCTCTTATAGGGTTACTGCCGGTCCCAAGCCCGAATAAAGGAGGAGGGTTGGGAATCCTGAAGGGAAGCGAAAAAGAGGAAGGCCAAAGAACACATTGCGTCGGATAATAGAAGCAGATATGAAAACGATGAATTACAACTGGACGGAGCTAGAAAGGATTGCCCGGGACAGAGTTGGATGGAGAATGCTGGTGAGCGGCCTATGCTCCTTCACGAGGAGTAACAGGCGTAAGTAAGTAAGTAAGTAAGTCTTGAGATTAATTTAAAGCTTACAGTATTTGTACTTGTAAATGAAATCTAACGTTTTCAGTTCTCCTAAGTTAAACTTGGTAAATATTTTATAACTGATATGTTTTAAAATGTATATTATTTAAGCACATTATACCAGTGTTTAATCTATATTCACAATTTATTGATTTTTAATAGTTTCCTGAAATTCATATTATTAAGAAAAGAATCAAGAACTTTAAATTATCATTTTAATTATTGATAGAAAAATACTAATGATAAATATATACTTACTCCAATTTCAGCAAATTCCAATAATTTTTCCGATTCTATCCTACTTAAATTTGGTAGACACCAGATGTTTTGTGTACGAGTTATACGTTCTTTTAAACTTGGAAGTTTTGGTGAGACTTGTAAATTGAATGAATCATCGTACAATTTATGTATATGATTTGTGTTTTGTGTGAATGGAATAGATTGGTGCTGTTTTAATTGATTCCCATACTTTACCTCATTAGAAGATACAGTTGGTATAAAAAAGAATAATTCATCGACTTCATCTTTATTATAGAAACTATCATCATCAATATCATTGTCAGAGTCATTATCATCCATGATCTCTTCATCAATATCACTAATATCGTTTAATTCACAAGCGATATGATTATCATTTGAAGAAGTAGTAAAACTTGAATTTGTAGGTGAGATACTGCTTACATTATTGTTAGTAATAGTATTAACATCAATATGTAGTGATCTACTTACTTTAGAATTAAACATGATTTCGGATCGGGACATATTCGAATTTAAAACTTGACGCTGATTATGTTTAGTGTATTGATTTGAATGGGGAGTTGGATCATCGACCTCTGACTGTTGCTGTGATCGATGGTTTTGATTTTGGTGATATTGAAGATGCTTTAATTCATGCTCATAAACGTGTCGCGTTGAAACATGAAAAGTTGACGATTTACTTAACATTGTTGAGACTGAAATTTAAAAATAAACACGATCTCAAATATCTTCACATTCTCGTAGGAAATAGTAAAATGAGTCAGTGGTTTTTAAAGCCATTCGAACCATGTTTTGACCGAGAAACCGTGATGAGAGTATTGCACACATATTAAATGATGTCACTTTCTAAAATGTCAAAAAGATATATAGACTTGAATAATGGTTGATCAGGAATATCAAATCACCAATTCTGACTCACAAAATATGAGGTTAAGTTTTATTTAGTGGTATATGAAAGATGCCCAGGTGTATGCCGAATTCAAATTCTAAGTTTATAGACAATAAACTTCCTACACACAAAAACACTATATACTTACCCCTGGTATTTATTTGATTTGTAACTGTTTAAGGAGTGACATAAAGTAATAAGAGCGGAAGCATAATATCCACGCTTTGAGAAAAGCACCCAAGTGCGTCACAAGGCAAGCTCTCACTTGGAATCCACAAGGCCAAAGGAAAAGAGGAAGACCAAAGAACACATTACACCGAGAAATGGAGACAGACATGAGAAGAATGAATAACAATTGGATAAAACTAGAAAGTAAGGCCCAGGACAGACTGGGTTGGAGAATGCTGTTCGGCGGCCTACGCTCCACTGAAAGTAACAGATGTAAGTAAGTAAGTAAATAATGTCTAGAATATCGAAGAAGCAATTAGTGCAAAGATGATTGATACGGGTTCAATTTGTACGTCTATTGATATTGAAAGGCACTAGGTTAGTGTGGAAACCAATACTGTAGTTTAGGTACACCCGAATGGTGATTCCTGAATAATACAAAACGTGTATTCTGTATTTCACTGCCAACCACAATCCGTCCATTCTAAAAAAAACTAGTATGAATAGTATAACGTATTTATACCGAGGAAACCTAAACCAATATTTTATAACTATTAAAACTGATTATTAAAATATTTCTGAAACTTTACAGAAACTGTTAGTCAATTGAATTTGTAGTGTTTAGATGAGTAATTCAAAATGTTACTACTGAACTTTACATATGGTAGTTAACCGATTGAAGTATGATCCTTGTTAACTATAGCTATAGCTATGTCTATCAACAAATTTAGTTAAATTATATTATTAAAACTTACAATTTCTTTTATTATAATTTTAATGAATCAAACAAAATACCTATGCTACAACAATATTCAATGTTTGGGAAGTTTTTTAAAAAAAAAACATTTTTAACATCTGAATAATAGATTTATAATCTAATCTAAACAGTTAAGAGAAAGAGACTCTTTCATTATGAATTATGTTTTATTCACAAAAAATAATTTATTATTATCTTCAAGTATAGAACAAAATAGAAAAGGATAATAATATGATGCATGTTTAGTCGCATGTATACATATACACATATATGTGAATTTATAGAGGGAAAATGTAGAACACTTAATTATTGATAGGATAGAAAGTGTTTAAATTAAAAGCCTTTGACCGAGAAAAAATGTTTAAAATATACACAAAATGGAAAATAATAATAAGGAGAAGAAGAATAAAAAGAATGTCAAAACTTTTCTTGAACATTTTATTGTCAATAAAAAGAAAACCGAAGAATAAACATTCATAGAGCAAGAACATAGATTGGTGCAAAATAATATGAATTCATTTTATTTCGTTAGGTTCTCATCAGCTGCTTAAAACCTAAATTATTTGAAATTCAAATTATAACAGATATTGACATTTGTTATACATAAGCCTGTGATTAAGGATTAATACATGTGTATGATGATGTAGAAAATATTCAGATAGAGTTAATGAGCTCATAAAATGTTTGATTCGAATAAATAAATAAAGTTAGAGAGGGAAAGTTCTGGAACATTGAAATAGTGATTAGAACTCATGAAAATAGATTAATAGTAATAAAGAAAATATGAATTAAAACCAATCATTTATGTATGATGTAATTTAAACTTCAGAAAGAGTTGGAATAGTGAATGACGTAATAAATAAATAAATAGGAGCAAATGAACAGAAAGGGTGGGGATTATTGTTACCAGGGTAAAGAAAGATTTATTACTGTCTCTTTTTGTATACATAGATCTGGTTTTAAATGTTTGATTGCTAACGCTTCAGCGAATTTCAAAAGGTTGGAGTTTGATTGTTTGTTAATCACCTTGTAGGACTTCAGCATATCAACTTCATGTCCTGTATCAAGGAGATGTCTTGCGATAGCACTGTTGAAAGAGTTCAATCCATTTGATGTTATACTTTTCGGAATATGTTCGTTGAATCGGATGTAGGCTTTCCTTTCTGTTCTACCAATGTAACTGCTTTGGCAGGTACATGTAAATTTGTATACACAGTTGGTGGTAACATGAAAGGGATACCTGTCGACCTTTGATTGTGTCAAAGAACATGTTGTTTTGGACAGGACAATCAATTTTGCTGCAGGATAGGTTCGCGTCAGTGCATTTTATGAGCTCACTAAATCTATATGAGTATTTTCTACATCATCATACACATGTATTAATCCTTAATCACAGGCTTATGTATAACAAATGTCAATATCTGTTATAATTTGAATTTCAAATAATTTAGGTTTTAAGCAGCTGATGAGAACCTAACGAAATAAAATGAATTCATATTATTTTGCACCAATCTATGTTCTTGCTCTATTTAAGATAATAAAGGGAACTATGTGTATAAAATAAACTTTCAAGTGTAAATTAGTTACATGTGGACATGTGTATTTGTGTATGTTATCGTTTGAATGAATAAAAGAAAATCAGACATATCTGTTTAATCGTGTTCGTTTTTTATTCTAAACTAAACTTTCACTAATTTATCAATAATGAATGAAACTGTCTTCCTTTTTATTAAATCTATTTTTAAGACTTAAGCCATTTTATAAAAAAAGATGTGCATTAGAGTTTTAGGCCAGAAAGTTTAACATTTAAGAGGTTAAATTTCGGAAATGTGCCAGTTTTCAGTTGATCGATATGACCTAAAATTCAATTTTTACTATAGAATTTTAAAAAGTACAGTATTTTGACGAAAAATACTGGTTTATTTTTACGAAGATAATATTCCATAAACTCATTAAGAATTTAATTTATCTGGCATAAAATATGCGATATTAACCAATTATAATGACAATGGTATTAGGAACAAATATCAACTGAAAATGGATCAGTTTTGTTATGACGCACGATGTCCGAGACTTATGCTGATACACGAACTTCCTATGCGTTAGCCCAAAATGGCTAGTGAGTAAGAAGACTAAAAGTAAAGAAGGAAATTTTGCGGGCTGAACGAACTTCTATGCATAAGCTTTCATATATATATATATATACTCCATCGAAATTGAAACCATTTTTGGCCGTTAACTTCATTACTCGTAAATCATATAAATAATGGTGATTATTGTACTCTAAGAAAGGGGACTAGAAAACCTGAGGGATATACTAAAAGGATAAAAGGAATATTTTAATTAGACAATATTTAAATGAAACTGCATTATTAGGATAAAGACAGTCAGACAAAATCAAAGCTATTTAGAAACATATAAAGTTTGAACTAATTCAACTTGTTTTATTTTACATTGGTAAATGGGAAGCGATTCAACAACATAAAGAAGGAAATAAATACTTAAAAGTAATTATGATGTTAAGTGTGACTAAAAGCCAAGGACCGACGCAAGAAGAGCAGTTAGTTAACAAGAATATCATCTGATGGAGGATGGGTGTCTAGTATTTGCATTGATTGTGACATAGCTTAACTTAAAGTCAATATAATCAGAGTACATCACAACTTTCGATAAAGTTTGAACTATTGGTTAAATATTGAGTATACATAGTACATATGTCATTCGGCTGGCGTTAAGATTGAAACAAAGTGATGAGATTTCTAATACATGCAAAACATTACGAGTATTGAATATGCATAAATCAGGAGTCTGAATTACTCTACGTGGCTATGACCAACAAATAGCAACTTCATGAACTGATCCCATGTCATTATTTGATAACCCCTAGCTTTCTAACTTGCTCTTATGTCGCACAACGTTGAACATTAAAGTAGACAGTGGTTAAACATGTTTAGTACAAGTCTCAGTCACCTCAGTCGATGAAAGTTACTATTATCGTTGTTGAACTAGTTCATTTTACCTATTACGCTTTTCGAAACCTTAGTATCGCTTACTCGGTAGTTCCACCATAAGGGATGAATGTTTAGTAAACCCCCATGAACAAATATTTGAAACCTACTTATGTCATCTTGTTTCATAAGTTGTTTTCGGGAGCCATATAATAATAGAAGGCAGATTGCTCATCAGCATTCTTGCCTCTCTATAGGCAGTAAAAAGAGAGATAAGTTTTCTTCACTCGTGCCGAAATCCTGTTGGACATCGACCTACCAGTGTTGATGCGACTACAATTCCAAGTGAAGTAGTCGATTCATTTTATTACTTCAGTATATATTTTTTCTCAACGGTAAGCTGGAAACGTTCTTAGTATTTTAACAGGAAAAGCGTTTATGAAAACGTATTCCATTTACACAGAGGGTTATTCTATTTTCTTTATTTAGGTTCTGAATGACATGCCATACAACTACCGTAAAATCATTTGAACTAATTGGAATCAGTTTTACCATAACCACAATTACAAGATATCCCATACATTTCAGCTTAATTAATAACATATCGACTGCCATAACAGACAAGTGTGTAATTGATCATGAATGAAGACAGCGCTTCATAAAACTTTGATGATTATAAATAAGAGTAAAAAGCTATGGTAAGCCGATGGACTGAGTGTGTAGCACTCTGACAAAATGTAGTTACCAGGCCTAGAAAAAATTCACTTTCCAAAATTTAAAACATATTCTTTGTGTTTATTGTATTTTTGGTTTGATTTATCCTATAAACCATCACAGGATTTACAGGTCATAGAAATTATATAGTTTATTTTTTACAATGTGTATAATTCAATAAGCATATATCCATTTATCTAATTTTTTATTA